GCTCACTACAGCCTCTGCCTTCCGGGTTCAAGCAATTCTCCTGATTTAGCCTCCTGAGTAGCTGAGATTACAGGCACATATCTCCATGCCCGGCTAATTTTTGTATTTTTAGTAGAGATGGGGTTTCATCATCTTGGTCAGGCTGGTCTCAAACTCCTGACCTCGTGATCCACCCGCCTCTGCCTCCCAAAGTGCTGGGATTACAGGCGTGAGCCACAACACTCAGCTTCATTCCTTTTCAATGTTGTTGTTAGAAGACAGATTAGGAAAGGAAAAGAAAAAAGCCCCAGTGAGAAATTCACTGATGACCATTCTAATTGTTATGATTTACTACTCAATTGTATCAGTGTCATTGGTCACTAACCCAGTGCCTAGCATGGTGCCAGACACATAGTTACTCTGATAAAGCACAGTGATTGCTGGGTTCTCTCTCTCCTTGTGCAGCTCTTCATGCGGATGTCTGAGCTCATATCAGGTCTGAAGAAGGCAGATTCTGAGGATTTGAGTCATGATGGCTGCCAAAGCTTCTACTCCTGATTTAAAGGGCAACAATCCTAGGAGACCAGCAGCACTTACATCCCTGGTAGGATATGACACCTGTGTATGGTGAGTTCATAGATCTGAAAAAAAGCATGTTGTGGAATAGGTCCTGTGAAGTTCCCAAAATAGCCTAAAAGTAAAGAAGCTACTTTGATCTCATCACTGGGGAAGAGGTTTAATGGGTGGAATTTCCTTTCATCAGCAGCTGCATGCTTTGAAGTAGCCCTTGACACCCATCTAAGTGATGCCTGCTTTGAAAGCAATGAATTAGCCACACTGAAGAAAGAACTTGATCTTAATATGCACTTACAATACATGTTTTTCTGACTGTGTAAGTCATTCCCATGTATCTCGCAGATGGGGGCTGAACTATGTAGTTGGTTAGCAGGTGTTCCTAGCAATTTGATTCATGTAGTAATATTCTCCTTGCTGTCTATCAGTTTTAGCCTCATTTTAATTTTTTTAAAAGACTTTCTCAGAAAAAAAAAATTGAGGGAATTCCACAGGAATTTTAATATCAACTTGTTAAGTTCTAAAAAAAAAAAAAATATGCTAGTTTTTTGACTGGGATCCCATTGAAAGCACAGATCATTTTGAGGAGAACGGACGTCATAACAAAACTGAGTCATCCAACTCAAGAAGAGAAAAAAAAAAAGGCCTAGAGACAATCTACAGGTCAACTCTGGAAAGATCAATCTATAAAAAATAGTTATAATACTTCCAATTTTATATTTGTGATTAGAATTGAATCAGTTGAATTGTGTTTTTCTTCCTTTTCTTCCTTACCTGATGAATCCTGAGTTCTTTGGTGGTAAGAGGGAGGGAGAGAGCATGTGTATATATCAGTGTATGTACATGCACATATATGTTTGTATCACTGAAGTTGTGATGAGTGTCTATTGTTAGGAACACTTAAGGAGTGTTAATGTGGTCACATCAGTCCCTTTCAATTCCTCGTACATTTTATGAACCAAATCAGAGTGATTATTCTTTGCGTTTTTTCCACCTTTCCTCAGCCAGCATGGTTACCATGGTGACTCAGTGACTACTGTGGAATTTTGTGCAGACTGAGCATCCATGTATGATTCTTCTCTAAATCACTCACACCCAGTTGTCTGTCCACCAGACATAGTATGAGCCTTTGATCTTATGTGCAGTTGTTCACTTTTAAAGGGCTCAGAAGAAACTTGCTTTGCTTCTCTGAGGTTAAGCTACATAACATGAGAGGACAGTAAGTAACTTAAAAGAAAAAGAAATGGGTTGTTGATATTCTTCTCCTTCCTCAAGCTTTATCAGGAGGTTAGAAGAAATATTACCGGAATCATACGGCATGGACTCTCTTGTGTCTGGCTCCCTTCAATCAACATATGTGTGTGAGATTAACATTTGTTGTTGTTTGTAGTTGTAGATTATTCATTCTTGTTGCTGTAAAGTATTATATTATTTGGATATTTCACCATATAGTTATCTGTTATAGGAACTTGGGTATTTTCCAGTTTTTAACTTATCATGAATAATGATGGTATGAACATTTTTGTTTGTGTCTAATGGATGGGCATATATTTTCATCTCTCTTGGGCGTATACCAAAGAATAGCATTTCTGAGTCATAGGGTATGTTTGTGTGTGGCTCCATAGATACCACCAAGCAGTTTGTTAAAGTGTTTTTTGTTTTTTTTTTTCAATCTGTATTCCCACAAGCAGTATGTGAGTGTTTCACTTAATCCATGTCCTCACCAACACGTGATATTTTCCATCTTTTCCATTTTTGTTGTTCTGGTGAGCATGTGGTAGTATCTTTTCCTGGTTTTAATTGCAATTTCTCCAAAGTGTTAAGTCTCTTTTAATTCGAAGAAGGTCTATCCTTTTTTTCAACATTCTACCTTAGTCAGAGTTCTCCAACGAAACAGAACCACTCATATATATATGTGTATATATACACACAAATATATATGCACATACACACACTCATATATATGTATGTATGTATATGTGTGTATATATATATATAGACACACACACACACACACACACACACACACACACAGAGAGACATTGCAGAGATATTGCAGGTTCAGTTACAAACCTCTGCAGTAATGCAAATACCATATTAAGCAAGTCACATGAATTTTATGGTTTCCCACTGCATATAAAAGTTATGTTTACACTACTGTAGTCTGTAAAATATGCAATAGCATTATGTCTATAAAAATGGTGTACTTACCTTAATTTAAAAATACTTTATTGCTTCATCTGAGCCTTCAGTGAATCATTATCTTTTTGTTGGTGGAGGGCCTTGATGCTGTTGATGGCTAACATATCAGGGTGGTGGTTGCTGAAAGTTAGCATGGTTCTAATAATTTCTTAAGATAAGACAAAAATGAAGTTTGTTGCATCCATTGACTCTTCTCACAAGATTTCTCTGTAAGCATGTGATACTATTTGATAGCGTTTTACCCAAAGTTGAAGTTATTTCAAAATTACAATCTTCTCAAACCCTGCCACTGCTTTATCAATTTTATATAATATTCTAAACCTTTTGTTGTCATTTCAATGATGGTCACTGCATCTTCACTAGGAGTAGATTCCATCTCAAACAACCACTTTATTTGCTCATCCAGAAGAAAAAACTCCTTATCTGTTCAAGTTTGATCATGAGATTGCGGCAATTCCGTCACATCTTTAGGCTCCACTTTAATTCTGGTTCTCTTGCTATTTCTACATCTGTAGTTACTCTTCCACTGAGGTCTTAAACCCCTCAAAGTCATCCATGGGGGTTGGAATCAACTTCTTTCAAATTCTTGTTAATGTTGATATTTTGACCTTTTCCTATGAATCACAGTGTTCACAATGGCATGTAAAATGATGAATTCTTTCTAGAAGATTTTTCCATTTACTTTGCCTGGGTCTGCCAGAGGAGTCATTAAGCAGTAGGCCTCAATAGTGGGCTTAAAATATTAAGTAAAGTATGCTGAAAACAGAGGTGCTGTCGTTTAGTCTTGTTGTTTTATTTCTAGTGTACAGGCAGAGTATATTTAGCATAATTCTTAAGGACCCTAGGATATTCAGAATGGTAATTGAACATTGGCTTCAATTTTAAGTCACTAGCTTCATTAGCACCTAAAAAAAATGAGTCAGTGTGTCCTTTGAAGCTTTGAAGCCAGGCATTGTCTTCTACTTTCTAGCTATGGAAGTTCTACATGACATCTTTTTCACTATAAAACTATTTTCTCTACATTGAAAAGATTTTGTTTAGTATAGCAATCCTCGTCAATTATTTTACCTATGTCTCTGGATAATTTGCTGCAGCTTCTATATGAGCAAATGCTACTTCACCTTGCACTTCCATATTGTGGAGATGGGTTCTTTCTTTAAGCCTCATGAACCAACCTTTGCTAGCTCCAGTTTTTCTTCTGGCTATACTTTTCTTCTGCTGCTTTCTCATGTTTCTTAGCCTTTATAGCATTGAATAGAGTTAGAGCCTTGCTCTGGATTAAGCTTTGGCTTAAGGGAATGTCATGGCTGGTTTGATTGTCTATCCAGGTCACTAAAACTTTCTCCATATCAGCAATGAGGCTGTTTTGCATACTTTTCGTTCATGTGTTCACTGGAGTAATGCTTTTAATCTCCTTGAAAAATGTTTACTTTGCATTCACAACTTGGCTGTGTGGTGCAAGAGGCCTAGCTTTTGGCCTATCTTGACTTTTGACATGCCTTGCTCACTGAGCGTGAATATTTCTAGCTTTTGTTTTAAAGTGAGATACATGGGACACTTCCTTTCACTTGAACATTCAAAGCCATTATAGGGTTAATATAATAGCCGAATTTCAATATTGTTGTGTCTCAGGAAGTAGGGAGGCCTGAGGACAGGGAGAGAAACTGAGGAGCAGCCAGTCAGTGAAGCAGTCGGAGTACACACATTTGCCAATTAAGTTAGTCATCTTAGATGGGTGTAGTTTGTGGTGCCCCAAAACAATTACAACAGTAACATCAAAGGCCACTGTTCACAGATCACCACAGCAGCTATTACAATAATAATGAAAAAGTTTAAAGTATTGTGAGAATTACCAAAATATGATAGAAACACAACGTGAGCACATGCTATTGGAAAAATGGTGCCAATAGACCTGCTTGATGCAGGGTTGCCATAAAGTTTCTGTTTATAAAAAATGCAATATCTGTGAAGTCCAATAAAGCAAAGTATAATAAAATGAGATATGCCTGTATGTGTGTACATATGCATACACACACACACACACACACACACACACACACACACACACATGGTCCTTGACTTATTACGGAGTTATATCCCATTAAACCTATCCTAAATTGAAAATATCGTAAGTCAAAAATGCACTTAATACACCTAACCTACTAAACATCATAGTTTAACCTAACTTGCCTTAAACATGCTCAGAACCTTTACATTCGCCTATACCTGAGAAAAATCATTCAATACAAAGTCCGTTTTATAATAAAGTATTGAATATCTTGTGTAATTTATTGAATACTGTACTGAAAGTGAAAAACGGTTGTGTGGATACTCAAAGTATAGTTTCTGCAGAATGCATATCACTTTTGCACTACCATAAAGTTGAAAAATTATAAGTTGAACCACAGTAATAAAGATTTATTATAAGTAATTGGCTTATGTAATTATGAAGGCTTTATTATAAGTAATTGGCTCATGTAATTATGCAGATGTTGAGATTTCTCAACATTCGCAGTAGGCAAACTTGATTTCCAGGAAAGCTTATGGTGTAGTTCATGAAGGTCTAAGAATCAGGAGAGTTAATGATATAAATTCCAGGCCAAAAGCCTGCTGGCTAGAGACACAAGAAAAGGTGATTTGAATTCATGTCCAAAGGCAGAAAAAGACTAACGTTTCAGTTCAGAAAATTAGGCAGAGAAATTCCTCCTGGTCAGTCTTTTGTTCTGTTCAGATCTTCAATTGATTGGATGAGGCCTAGGTACATTAGAGAAGGCAATCTTCTTTACTCAGTTCACCCATTTAAATGTTAATCTCATCCAGAGACACCCTCAAAGACACACCCAGAATAACTT